CTACCCCTCAAATATTACCAAGTTATATAATAATATCGCCATATTGTTTTTTCTCATGCTGACATAAATGTGAGAAAATTTTATCCAGTTTGTATGTTAATGGAAATTCTTGCTTTGCTTTATCATCACCATTACAAATGATTAATTCGACGCGAACGAAGTCGCGGGTACACGCTAGTATGACATATTTAAATACATACATCAAACCGTGCTTTTATCTTTATAATTTGCACTGATGAAGCATTCGGGTATTTTTACATACGACACATGTTTCTATTACACACGATATTTTTAGTAGATCATAAAAATATTTTTTCAATCTTTTAAATTTAGAATAAAAATATTTCAACTTAACGAGAAAACAAGTATCGTCTCCCAACTAACTACTAAGCTACGAAGATTATTAATACTCGCAGAGACATTTTTATAAAAACGTATTTTAAGAACGACATAATTTATTGTATCATTAAGTGTGTCCGGGTAGTACGCACGGAACACTCGCTATGTGTGTGTGGGTACCCAAAAATAAAATCGAATCGAAAGAAATCACACACATCCAGAGCGAATAAGAGGAAAGAAAAACACTTTTAATTTAGAACTAGTAGTAAACTAACACGTACTGGAACATGGAACTCATTTAATTCTGACTAGGAATGTTTAAAAATATCGATCCATCAAATTATCGATACATTTCTTTTTTGAATTTCTTAACTCTTTATAGAGCAGTACTAATTATTTTCTAGTTTGGTCAAATTGACTTCAAAAATATGTAAACTAGCACAAATGGAGCATCTCTTCTTAATAACATTTTTCAGAAAGTTAACAAATAAGGGAGTGGAGGGTTGGTGGTCGATTTTTCAACAAGAGACTGATAAAGCAAATAAATAATATGTAATGATCTAATGTATATAATGTATAAACTATATGTATCATCCAAAAAAGAGTAAGTTCATTTTGAGAATCTCTGTTAGCTCTCCACTCAAAAATATGCCCATATCAAGTAAATCAAATTTTGTTGTTGAAATATGTTGAAAAAAATAAATATGTTAAAAATATACAGAATATGTTACCGATTTTCGAAAATATCATCCGAGCCGTAAATTTGGTGCGCCAAATAAAAAGAAATAATCGTCACAGATACATTTGTTTCTATATTTTTAAATTTTTATCGCACGAAATTTGCATAGAAAATGCTTAGACGACAATTACCACCTATATGATACCACCTATATGATCACAACCGCTTACGTTAAGTTTTCGCGCCAATTCGGCCAACAACGTATAGATATGGTTAAATAAATGGTCAAAACGCGCATAGAAATAGGCATAGGAAACAAACTGGGCGATAATACACTTCCACGCGACTGATTAGTTGGTTAAATTAAAGTGGTTGATTTAGCGATCATCAGCCTATAAAGGCTAAACATCAACCATGGCGCTATAAAAGCAGTCATTAAAAGCAACCCAAATATTTGACTTAAAAATTGATTTTTCGCTTAAATCTTTCCTGGGTTTTCTTTTTTGTAAATTTAATCTACTACCAATGTTGCCAAATTAAAAGGTATGTTTTTTAACTAAAAGTTCTAATTTTTTTTTCGCGAAAAAAACCTCACAGACGTGTTTCTGAGGTTGAAATATACTACGCCTAAAAATATTTGCACTTATTTAAGACTCACCCTGTATAAGGAAATAATAGAGAAATAATAATAAATAATAAGATCTACTGATGCAAAATCTTAGG